TCCGGAAAGGACACATGGTTCTTGGACAGTTGCTGCGGACAGCACATGTGCTCCTCGGGACGCTTCGTTCAACGAGAACACCAACTTCAACGCGAAGTTGTCATTACAGTCGCCAACAATCAGAACCTGCGAACACGACGACAAGGCGTAGTTCAACTTCAATCAAGGGAGACAAACGTTATACTGCAGATGTCAAAAGTACTAATCGCGGAGGGACTCGGCTACAACTTACTGAGCGTCAGTCAGCTAATGGCGAAAGGGATTCACCTCAAAGCAGACAACACCACCCAAGAATTCAAGCTGTATCACGGGAGAGGAGGACTTTACATCGGCAAGGCGGTCCTCAAGAACAACGTCTTCGTTCTTGATTTCGTTCCTGATCTTGGCACCGCCGACAGCGACGCCATCGTTAACTTCACCAACTGGACACACCCTCCAGACCTTGATCCAGACTTCAGTCCAGAAGGCTTCTGGTATTCACACACCATCCCTGAAGCAGAAAGAACAAGGGCGTTAGCAACAATTCAGACAACATCAGCAGCAGCAGAGACAACATCGGCAGCAGCAGAGACAACATCGGCAGCAGCAGAGACAACATCGACAGCAGCAGAGACAACATCGGCAGTAGCAGAACCATCAACGGCAGCAGCAGGAACGTCAACACCAATTGCTGGTCCTTCAACGACACCGCTCCTCATCGACGACACACCACCGACACCCGCGCAACAACTACACCCAGCACCACGAGAAGTTCATCGTAGCGCCAACTTCACCGCCAACTTCTACTCCAACTCCGATATGTACCGACGATCACCCGGACATCGCGCCGACGAAAGCACCTGGCACGCAAGGATGGGACACCCAAGCAACACAGTATTAAACAATACGATAAGAGCAGGAGTACTCGACAAGGACTCACTCCTACTGACCGACGGACGAGAACTTCAACGAGTACGCGGAACGTGCTTCACCTGCCCTGAAGGTGACTTACCACATCGACCGTTTGCGTCTCATCACAACCCGAGCGCACCCGCGTACGCACCACTCGAGAAGGTGTATAGCAACATCCTGTACAATCGGGAACCAGGACAAGTAATATACAACTATACAATCACCTTCATCGACGCCGCCACCCGTTACGTCTGGCACCTAAACCTCCCTAGCCGCGACATGGCATTCGCAGCCTTCGTTGCCTGGCTACCAGTAGCAGAGAGAGAATCGGGCGTGAAACTGAAAAGCTTCCAGTCAGACGGAGGAGGAGAATACACCTCTCAGCGATTCAAGCAGTACCTGGCGGAAAGGGGAATCAAGCGGCTCATCTCCCTTCCCTACGCCCATCAGCAGCAAGGTGTAGCAGAAAGAATGAACAGGACCTTGCAGAACAGCATGCGCAAACTGTTACGTGCCATGTGGCTACCCAACCACCAGTGGCCTACGGCAATGGACCACGCCGTCATGCTGCACAACTTGCTCTCGTCATCATCGCTTCCAAACAACGCATCACCGCATCTGCTATGGACAGGGAAACAGGGCAGCACAAAAATGTTACGAGTATTCGGATGCATGGTACAGTACCGACCCCCAGCAGCACGAGCGGGCCGATTTTCTCAACGAGCACAGTGGGGACTACACCTGGGAATCGAAAAGAACTACAACGCGTGGAAAATCTTCGACGTCCATTCCAAGGAAACAGTAGCAGCACGTGATGTAATTTTCTACGAACGACTCACGCTCCAGACATACCTTGCCAACCTACAAGAAGACCAGGATCCCACAGGTGGTTTTCGCGGTGACCGAGCCTTCGCCCCAGCAGCGGACGAAGCTGACTGGGACGAGCAGAATGTGGACAACGCATCAGAAGAAGCCGGACCTCTTCCGTTCTGCTCCGTCGACGTTCCCATGGACGAAGATAACCCTCGCGAAAGTGTCAACGCCGAAACCTTCTACTATTTCGCCGACAACGGTTACGTAACACCTGCGACAGTCAACACCAACGAAGCAGAACGAGTAGGACCCAACTTCATACCTGATCCAGAAGCGGGAGATGAAGCAGCTTATCCCGAGGACGCAAATCTTCCCCGCTACTCACAGAGTGGACTGCAAATTCTCGGACTCGTCACCGCAGTCCACGGCACCGCCATTCCTAAAGAGCCTGCGACGGTTCAACAGGCTCTGGGGGGGGAGCATAAGGAAAAATGGCGCGAAGCCATGGACAAGGAGCTGAAGGCACTGGAGGAACGCAACACGTGGAAAGTGGTTCCTATCGGCGTGGCACGGAACAAGACAGTGCTCACCGGGAAGTGGGTCTTCCGTGTGAAGACAAAGGCTGACGGCACCATTGACAAATTTAAAGCTCGCTGGGTTGTACGCGGCTTCGACCAAGAACACGGACGCGACTTCACCGAAACTTTCGCTCCGGTTAGCCGCCACACCTCACTACGCATTCTCCTCGCAATCGCCGCCATGAAGAAGAAGAAGCTGCGACAAATTGACGTCGCGAACGCGTTTCTCTACGCACCTGTTGATGCAGAAATTTTCGTCGAGCTACCGCACGGCTCCCACAGAGAACCCAACCAAGTCTGCCAGCTACTCAAGTCACTCTACGGCATCAAGCAGGCTCCGCGACTGTGGCAACAGTACCTGCACGCTCGCCTCATCCGCATTGGCTTCAAGCAACTACCGCACGATCAAGGCATGTACCGGCTCACAAAAAACGACGACTACATCCTACTAATCGTCTACGTGGACGATCTCCTTTACATCGGCTCAAATGACGGCATCACTACCTGGTTCGAAGGGGAGCTGCAGCGAGATCTCACGCTCACAGTTTCATCTACCGTCACTCAGTACCTCGGCCTCAACATCCGGGAAGAGGAGGACGCGATCTACCTCAGCACCGAGAAGTATGCCGACACCATCGCCAAACGCTTTACGCTCACACCGACAACCATCTCCACGCCATACCGCTACACGGCAGGGAACGACAAAGGAAGCTCCGCTCTACTCAAGCCCGCCGGCATACAAGACTACCAGAAGAAGCTGGGATGTCTTCTCTTCGCAGCCGTCACCTGTCGCCCCGACCTCTCATACTCCGCAAGCCAGCTCGCCACCTACCTCAAGAAGCCTGAAGCAGAACATCTGGCGGAGCTCGACCGCGCTCTTCACTACTTCGTCAGCACCCCAACGATCGGCCTAACTTACTACAAGAACGCAACCACACCGACTAAGTTAATCGGCTACGTCGACGCTGATCACGCTGGCGACTCCGACAATAGGCGCTCCCGCACCGGCTACATCTACCGCCTCGAACCTATCGGACCTATCTCTTGGCAGTCGAGCAAGCAGGAATTAATTGCTCTCTCGTCAGCTGAAGCAGAATATATTGCACTCTGCTCAGCCACCAAGGAAGGACTCTATCTTCGCGAGCTGCTGGAAGAAGCGAAGTTAGCCGAGTTACCCAACTTTACCCTGTTCTGCGACAACCAGTCGGCAATTCGCATCGCCAACAAGAACGGCTTCGCGAACAGGACGAAACACATCGCCCTGCGATATTTCTTCGTGAAGGACGAGATCGAGAAGGGAAGGCTCGAGCTGTCATAGTGTCCCACGTCCGAGATGGCAGCTGACTACCTGACCAAGAAGCTCGGAAAGCAGAAGTTCGAATACTGCATGCTGCTGACTGGACAGAGCCACGTCAGCGACACTCCAGAAGCGAAGGGGAGTGTTGGAAACAATCGGTCCTAAGCGCCTCTGTCGTGTCGAAACACTAAGACACAAAAGAAACGAAGTATAACGAATCACCGCCGAGTCAACCCTCGGAGGTTGAAAGTAACTGTTGGAGGTTACGCGAAAGTCAAAGGTCAGCGACCTTTGACCTGACAAAGTACGGCGCGACAGTAAGGACAAACAACTGACTCGGTATTGAGCAGTTGCCCGAGTCGTCACTGTATCGAACCGCAACAGCAATAGTAAAACGGTTATTAACTGTATCTCTTCGTATTCCTTGTACTCTTATAAAAGCTTGTATCTCTTTGTTTTAATCAACTTACTTTGCCCTCACATACTAGCGCAAGGTGGTTCACAACTCTTTAATTAACGCTTCCACTACTACACCAACTCTACCCAGAGTTCACCCCTGCAAAGATCCTAAGGGTTTTTCAGCCCAACAGACGCGACGGGCAGGGAGGCGCGACGGGCGCGAGGGGACAGGGCGGGCGCGACGGGCGCGAGGAGACGGGGCGGGCGCGACGATACGGCGCTACGGGCGTTGTAGGCTAGGCGCAACGGGCGCGAGAGGCTCAAGAGCGAGGAACGGGATCCAACAGGATCCTAACCTAGGCGATACCATGTCAGAAACTGAATGATGTATGTATTATTGTGAGCTGGGGTACTTATACCTAACCCTAACAACTGTACCCCACATGACATGCCTCGCTACAGGCTTCAACATTTGACAATTGCCAACAATCACTGGGTTTTGTTTGAGCGCTGAATTCCGTGTCTCCGATTCGTGAGTGTTTGATTCTATTTGCCTAGTCTTTTTCGGGTGTGACTTGAATGAGGATGGAAGTTGGGGGATGCCACCAGGCAATCGCTGCATATACGCAGGTACATGTATGTACCATATGAGGCAGTAACTTTAAAGCCCTTGCTGTGCAAGCACTGTTTGTGCGCCTCGATCCACTTAGTGCATGCCTCCTCCCCGTGCTCCACAATGCACTCGTCCCTCAGCTTCTCACTCATCAGCACAACATTTCTTCTTCTCTTGCATGCATATCAACAGTACATACTGGAGCCTATCCTATATAATCCCAGTCAGACATTAAAACCCTCGCTTCGTAAGCACTGTTTGTGCGCCTCGATCCACTTGGTGCACGCCTCCTCCCCGTGTTCCACAATGCACTCGTCCCTCAGCTTCTTGGTCGTCGGGCACGCACAGCAGATCTTCTTCTTCGGCTTCTCTTGCTGCTCTTGCTTCTCTTGCGCTGCTGCCTCGCCCTTCACAGGTGAAGACATGATGCCGCTTCAAAAGAGGACCAAACTGGAGGGCACAAGTGGAGGGGCACAAGGGGAGGGCAGGGAGAAGGGGAACATAGGGGGCCAGTGGGGGTCAGGGGGGGGCACTCGTCCCTCAGCTTCTTGGTCGTGGGGCACGCACAGCATATCTTCTTCTTCGGCTTCTCTTGCGCTGATGCCTCTGCCTTGTCTACTGCCTCCACCTTGCCTGAAAATGACTTGGCGCTGGTTTGATGGAGGGCCAAACTGGAGGGCACGGGGGGGTTCAGTGGGGTTGAGTGGTGCCTCTCCGTGTAGCTTCTGATGCCTCGGCCTTCACAGGTGATGATGACATGGAGCTGGCATGGCGGAAGAACAAACTTAAGAGCACAACGGGAGGGCACAAAGGGAGGGCACAAGGGGAGCGCACAAGGGGAGCATCGGATGTGGCAATGTGTCACAGTGGAAAACGGAGGGATCGGATGTAGCGATGCTTCGTAGAGAAGGCATTAGCGGGACCGGCAGGGGTAGGGAGAAAAGGGGATCAACTAGAATTACATCAACAGGGAGCAGGAGATATCATAGCAAGGTTCGCGTGCGCCTGGCACTCGCCAATAGCTCCTCTCTGTTCCCTTGCCTGCTGACTCTCAGCTTTCTCACGTGAAGAGGGGAGGCGTGTGAGGAGGGGAGGCGTGTGAGGAGGGGAGGCGTGTGAGGAGGGGAGGCGTGTGAGGAGGGGAGGCGTGTGAGGAGGGGAGGCGTGTGAGGAGGGGAGGCGTGTGAGGAGGGGAGGCGTGTGAGCAGGGAGGGCACGCGAGAGGAAGAGGGCGCATGCGAGAGGAGAGGGCGCATGCGAGAGGAGAGGGCGCATGCGAGAGGAGAGGGCGCATGCGAGAGGAGAGGGCGCATGCGAGAGGAGAGGGCGCATGCGAGAGGAGAGGGCGCATGCGAGAGGAGAGGGCGCATGCGAGAGGAGAGGGCGCATGCGAGAGGAGAGGGCGCATGCGAGAGGAGAGGGCGCATGCGAGAGGAGAGGGCGCATGCGAGAGGAGAGGGCGCATGCGAGAGGAGAGGGCGCATGCGAGAGGAGGGAGCAGAGAGGAGGGTAGGGGGGCAGCAGTTGTGTCGGAATGGGGAAAAGGACTATGGAAAGGGGACTAGATGAGAGAGGAGCATGTCACGTCACATCACGCCTGCGGCACGGGCTACCCAATCGCTGCGCAATAAACCCGATCACATGATACTAACCCGATCCGCGCATCTCTGATACACACCTGATCGCCGCTAGCGAGTCGACGAAAACCGGAATAAGCCACGCGGCCGAAGAGGGTGGTCAGGAGCCACGTTTTTTAGTCGACACAAAACACGGCTGCAGGTGGCTTCAGCGAGTCGACGAAACGCGGAATAAGCGACGCGGCTGAGGAGGGTGGTCAGGTGCGACTCGATCCCCACGTCGATCTGCTGCTACTAGTCGGTATTGTGCACGCCTATCAAGACTGCGCGACAGCAGCGAAGTGCCGAGAAGTGAACACGAGGCAGCAGAAAGTACGGAGGGCGTGGACGTGGGTTACGTAAGCGTCAGAAACTATGGGAGAGTCTGTCCTGTTTTGCTGTGCTGAATTATCCCTTTTGTTGTAGCGTGTCGCTCTAATCGTACATGACGTACACGCCCCCTATGACGTCCGCGGTATAGGAGGGGATGCTGGCGATGACCGCCACGTGTCGTCCTCTAAAAATTCGGGCATGAAATTTCGAAAGAAAGAGCGCGAATCCCCGTCATTCACAGATGGGGAATGATCATACTGGGGCCTCGGATTAGCAGAAAGATGGCCAACTTGGGGCCTCGTGATTCGCGACCCTACGAAGGAGGTCCGAAGCCACCCACAAGCCTAGGCAGCTAGGCCGAGCTCGCCACGTCACCACCTGCTGGCTTGGGCTTGACGGATTTCGCTAGCACCCTGGTTCACGGGAGCAGTGCTCGTCAGACCACTCAAAATGGGCAGTACAGATACTTCAGCAAAATAACCCAGAAATAAACATTTTAGCCCGAAAATATTTTCGTAGTTGTAAAAAAAATAACATTTTATTGGATGGCATAAAATTAGGGAGGCAACAACCCTAAAAACATGCGACAATGTGTTTAGGGTTGATGCCTCCCTGACCGGATGCATGCCCGTATGGGGTTTATATTTTTTGCCACGTTGTCCGTTCAGAAATCCGTCACCTCGAGTGGTCAGGTCTGACGGAGCGCGTGGGTGAGGCCCGAAATTGGTTAGAGACAGGTCCGGACCAGGTTCGAAACATCGCGACACACGAGGCCCCAAGTCGGCTCTATTCCTAGAACTTCGGGGCCCCAATCTGATCACTTCCCTTCACAGATTCATACACTCACATACAGTAAGAGATCTTCCAACACCACGTCTTTTGATACATTAACCTGGCTGTATTATGAATACATTTTCCAAATTAACGACATTATGGTAAGAAAAAAGATAATGATTTTCGTCGTGTCAAGATTCTTACGTAAGCCTTGGAGGCTACAAGTAGGTGTTGCAGTAAGGTTTCTATGTTTTGGGTTGAAGTACACGATTAGAAGAGTTTTATATCGAGAACCACTTCTGAAGCACATCCCTCCCCACTCCCCGCGCATGTGCATGTACTAGCTTCTGTTCCATTCCATCCACATTCCACCCACATTCTCACGCTAGCAGCTCCATCGTTCAGACACAACAGCAACATTCCCAGTCTTTTCTAGTAGTTTTCGGACGCCTCGGCAGAAAAGCGGAATCTCGAGTTTCTTGACGTTCAGCCAGAGACAGCATCTTCAAGACCAACTCACGTAAGATCGTACATTCTATTTGAAGCACGAATCGCATTTCGCTAGTGGCTTGGTGCTAGTCCTTCGATAGGCGAGTGAGTTTCCGTCCCAGAGGTCTCCCTCGAGAACTTCATCGCGTAGATCCGGCTGCCCCCGGTTACTGAAATTTCGCCCGCGGAGGCACGAGTGAGTCGGTTGCTGCGGACGTTCAAACACGTCATTATTCCGCCCGACTCACTCATTCGTGCCTTCGGAATCACTACTGAGCATAAAGCCGTTCTAATCCGCTCCCTCTGCCGGTTAAGTTCGTCCGTCCGCGCGCCTGCTTCTGCATCTGCGCTCTCTCGCCCTTCTCTCGTGCCACCGTCGACTTACATCGCTGTAACGAATCTGCTCTTTAATGTCACTGCTCCTCCTCGTCCTCCCGTATTCCCTTTCCTCCTCCTCGCTTCGATACAAGCAGAATGGCGGCCAATGACGCGCTGCCAGCTGTCCTGGTGGTGAACGACGATGGGATCGAGGCTCCGGGAATCAAGGCGCTCGTGGCGGTGCTCGGCTCGGCTGGCTTCTGCCGCGTCTTCGTCTGCGCGCCCGACGTGTACGTCGCCTTGCCCCTCCTTCGCGCCCTCTCTGTGCATCCATTTCCCCCCCCTGTGCGCCTGACGTGCACGTCGCACCGCGTCCCATGAACCCTGACTGCCGCCCACACCATAACTGCTTCCCCTCCCGTCTCGCCGCCTCCTCTCCCCCTCAATCCCCTCCAGGAGGGGCCTGATGGAGGTCTAGGAGGGGCGGATGAGGCGCACTCTGACGCCAAGCACTCTATGTTGAGCCGTGTCTTCGCCTTGCTCCTCTCTGCCCCACTGTGACCCTCTGTTCCCTATTCTCCCCGGTGCCGTACTGTCATGGTCTTGCCAGGGAGAAGTCAGCATGCGCGCAGTTCATCCCATCCAGGAGGCACTTGAGGCGAGCCTGGTGGAGGACTATGAGGGGCACATTTTGAATCCAAGCACTCAATGCCAACCCGTATCTTCTGCTTGCCCCTCTGTGCCCCTTTCTGCCCCACGCCAGGGAGATGTCAGCGTGTGCGCAGTCCTTCAGCATCCATGAGACACTCGAGGCCAACCTGGTGGAGGACTGTGAGGGGCGCACATTCTGAATCCAAGCACTCAATGCCAATCCGTGTCTTCATCATGCCCCTCTGTACCCATCTGTACCCCTATGATGCCCTCTGTTCCCCGTGTCAGCGAGAAGTCCATCACCATCCGGAAGACACTTGAGGCGAATCTGGTGGAGGACTATGAGGGGCACATTTTGAATCCAACCTGTGTCTTCACCGTCTCTGTACCCGTCTGTACCAATCTCTACCCGCCTGTGCCCCTCTGTACCTCTCTATGACCCGCACCAGGGAGAGGTCAGCGTGTGCGCAGTCCATCACCATCCGAAAGACGCTCGAGGCGAATCTGGTGGAGGACTATGAGGGCGCTGCTGTGGCATACTCGCTCACAGGTGCGCGCTGCTGTTCCTGCTCGTTCGTAGCTGTCTCTCCTGATTATTCACAACTTAAACACCCTTTCCGTCCACACACTGCGCTTCAGCCCATTCGTTGTTGGTCTTTTCTTCTTGTATGAAGAATGTTGGTTCGAAAAAGCTTGGGATGAATCTCTGTCCCCCCTGCCTGCTCCCAACAGGCACACGTGCAGACTGTGCGTCCATGGGCCTTTCGGGTGACCTGTGACTCGACTCAAAGGTCCCCTTTCTCTTCTCCCTCCTGCCTGCTCCCAATCCCCACAGGCACACCGGCAGACTGTGCGTCTGCGGGCCTCTCAGTTAATGTTGAGTCGTCTCAGAAGTTAAGACGTTCAGAACTTTTCCCTGTTCTCCTCCCCCTGCCTTTCCCAACAGGCACACCGGCAGACTGTGCGTCTCTATGGGGCTTTCTGGCCAGCTCTTCAAGGGCATCAAGCCCCTCCTGGTATGGAGTGGTTCAAAGCGGTACAGCGAGGCTCATGTGGTCAAAACACGGTCAAAGCGAAGCCATTAGTTTCAAGCATGGTCTAATTGCTCGACTGTGTGTTTCCTGGTGTTGTTGCTTCATGCGTGTCCTCAGGTGCCGTTCTCTTCTCAAAGATACCACTGTCGTATCCGTCAAAATAAGATCGCTCTGTTTTGTGAATCTTGTTTTGTTGTACATCCTTTTCTCTCCTAGTCGGGGATCTCTTTTCTTTTCTCCTGATCCTTGTCTCTCTTGATCCTTTGCATCCGTTGCATGCATGTTGATGGCGTGTGTGAGGTCAGGTCATCAGCGGCATCAACAAGGGCGCCAACACAGGCCGCCAAGTGTGAGTTACCGCCTGTGTTGCCGCTTCAGCACCTGCTCGGTCACATCCCATCCCTGTGCTCAAAGCCACCTTCCATTTACCTCAAATCACGGCATCTACCTTCACCAGCAGAAGGACCCTTCTCAGCCATATCCATGTGTTCTCTCACACCCTCGTTCGTGTCTTCCTGTGCTTGCATTGCATGCATGTGCTTCACGCAGTTCATCACGCATGTTGGCTTTTGAGTCGACTCAAAAGGGTCACAATTTGGAGGCGCCTCAAAAGTCTTTCTTCCTGTCCTTGCATTGCATGCATGTGCTTCTTGGAGTTCATCACGCATGTTGGCAACTTAGCATCCCCCTCACCTTGTTCTCCAGTCCAAGCACCCCTCACTGCTCCTCCTGTGCTTGCTTGGTCCTCTTCCACACGTTGAATCTCTTTTCTCCTGCCATTGCCATGTCCGCAGCAGCATCTATTCAGGGACGGTGGCGGGTACAAGGGAGGCAGTGATTCAGAGAGCGCTCCAAGCCCCTTAGCTGCTCCTCTTGTGCTTACATGGCCCCCTTCCACACGTTGTACCGTCCCTATCCCTACCCACCATGGAACCGCCCAACCAACAGCATCTATTCCGGCACGGTGGCGGGCGCAAGGGAGGCCGTAATTCAGGGCGCTCCAGGCATCTCCATCTCCCTCGACTGGTCAGTGCCTTTTCCTTCTTTCAATGCTTGCACGCTTATCGTATTCCTCTGGATGCTGCTTTCATGTTGTATGGGACGGGACCAACCAAGCGCAGCGCCCCTTGCTATGACAGAGTGATTGTCACTATAGTGACTGATCACCTTTTGTCCCTTTATATATACTGTGCCTGCCCACCCACCCGTCCCATCCTTTCTTCCTTTCCCACCATCTCGCTCTCCATCAGGAACTGCTTGCATGACAGACTTACACTCCTCGTTGGTTCCACCTTTCATCCCATCCCATCCCATCCCATCCCATCCCATCCCATCCCATCCCATCCCATCCCATCCCATCCCATCCCATCCCATCCCATCCCATCCCGTCCCATCACATCTTCTCCACCATATCATTCCTTCCACTCCGTCCCCTCCTTCACATGCCTTTGGCCACACACTCACCAGGGCCGCTGCAAGCACTGACGCCCACTTTTCTCCCGCCGCTGCCACGTGTCTGCCTCTCATTCGCTGCGTTCTCGAGGCAGCAACCTCTGGTCAGCTATCCAGCAGCGGAGGGGACCCGCTGCTGCTGAACGTGAACGTGCCGCTTGACCCCGTCAAGTCCAAGGTGTGTGCTTTCTTCTGGCACCTGTATATGGCACCCATATATGGTATAGAATGCTATGGCGTGCCATACTGGTAACAGCAGCGGCGCCCCTCAATCCTCAATCGTCCATCCTCCATCCTCTCATCCCTTTCATCCTTGGCAGGGCTTCAAACTCGCCCAGCAAGGCCAAGAACGGGTGGCCTTTTCCTGGACGCACATTGCCAAGAAGTGCACCGGAGTGCAGCTGGCAGGGATGAGTGGTGCTCTGAATCTCCCTTTGCCTCTCGTTCCTCCATCCTCTATCCTCCATTCCCTCAATCCTCAACAGGGCTTCAAGCTGGCCCAGCAAGGCCAGGCAAGGGTGGCCTTCCCCTGGACGCACATCGCCAAGAAGCGCACCGGAGTGCAGCTGGCAGGCATGGGGGGAGCGGCGGCAGGGGGCAGGGGACTTCCGGGCATGATGGGGGGCAGGGGCCTGCCGGGGATGATGGGAGGGAGGGGGCTGCCGGGAATGGTGGGAGGGAGGGGCCTCCCGGGCATGACTGGGCCTCCTGCGGTTTCTCTGGCTGAAATCGGATCGGTTGCCTCTGCTGCTGTGGGTGCTCATCTCTTTCCTTCTTACGAGGTGACTTGTGAGTCAACTCAAAAGGCCTTCCGGGCATGACTGGGCCTGCTGCGGTCTCTCTGGCTGAAACTGGACCGGTTGCCTCTGCTGCTGTGAGTGCTCGTCTGTGTTCTTAGTAGTTTAGTATAGTCGTAGGTGTGAAAATAAGTCGCTGACAAAAGTGTTAAAAGTCTGATGTGTGTTATAATCATCATGCTGGCATGTAATGTTCCATGTGGCATAGTCTGCATGATAAAACCTTACATTTCTGGGCATGTAATGGTCCATGCAGGCTATGCCCTGTAATGCTGGAACATTACATGCCTAAATGGACGGCATGACTGGCCAGCCCAGCCTTACTGTCAAGCAACCCCAAAAGCTCATCCCTCTCAACCCCACGCACCCCTCTCAACCCCACGCGCCCCTCTCACCCCTGTGAACCCATCACAACCCGACGCACCCCTCTCACCCCCACGCCACTCGCTCTCCCTCCCACGGGGCACAGCGCGGTCCAGAGTCCTGGCCGTCCACAAAGCCTCACTGTTACCTTAATAGTCTCGACCACACATCCCCTATCTCTGCCTCCCACAGGGCGCAGCGCGGTCCAAGACTCCTGGCGAGGAGAGCAGGGAGGATGGCGGGGACGAGCCATGGCAGCCACTCTCACCCCTCTCACCACCCCATGCACTCATCTCACCTCTCTCTCTCGCATCCCACAGGGCGCAGCGCGGTCCAAGACTCCTGGCGAGGAGAGCAAGGAGGATGGCGGAGATGAGCCGTGGCAGCCGCTGCATAAGATGCACTTCCGGCACGAGGTGAGGTGCAGTTGACCATCGTTGGCAAGAGGCAGCTGCTGCGTAAGATGCACTTCAGGCACAAGGTGAGCTGCAGTTGACCATCGTTGACCGCTGTTGACCATCGTTGACTGTCATTGACTGCCGTTGGCAAGAGGCAGTCGCTGCATAAGATGCACTTCCGGCACAAGGGGAAGCGCAGTTGACCATTGTTGACCATGGTTGACACGAGGCAGCCACTCCATGAGATGCACTTGAGAAACGCCGTGAGGTGCATGTCGCATCAATAGTATGAGGATCAAGTGCGTGGGACTTGCTGGTCGAGCCAAGTACCGTGCCTTAGTCTCTGCTACTTCATTCCGGGCACTGCAGCTCTGGTGGCGTGCATGGGGCACTGCAGCTCTGGTGGCGTGCATGGGGCACTGCAGCTCTGGTGGCGTGCATGGGGCACTGCAGCTCTGGTGGCCTGCATGGGGCACTGCAGCTCTGCAGGCCTTTCACGTCGCCTGGCTGTTCAGAAACATCATCAGTCTCACACATCTCTCCCCCACAGTCGAATGGGTGGGACGTGCTTGACAAGGATCCCGCCTTTGGCTCCGGTGCGCTGCCAGCCTTTTACATAAACTGACTGTCAAAGCGTCAGTACCACCCCTCTCACCTGCACTCATCCGTCTCACCCCATCGCACCCTTCTTTCTCTCGCTCTCAGCCGAGTGGGTGGGACGTGCTTGACAAGGACCCCGCCCTGCTTTTGCGCCACTGCGCTGCCAGCCTTTCATGTGGCCTGACTGTACAAGAAACTCATCAGTAGCATCCCTAAATTCCCCCCACACCCCACTTCCCCTCGCAGCCTGACAAGGACCCCGCCCTGCTTTTGACTCCGCGAGTGGTGCGAGGACCCCGCCCTGCCATGTGATGTGAAATGCTGGCAAGGATCCGGCCTTTGACTCTGCTGCTCTACCAGCCTTTCACATGGCCTGCCTGTTAAAGCGTCAGTAGCACCAGTCTCACCAATACTCACCCCTCTCACCTACCTCCCCCCCCCTCGCATCCCTCTCTCCTGCCCAGCCGAGTGGGTGGGATGTGCTTGACAAGGACCCCGCTTTTGACTCCGCTGCTCTCGCACTTGGCTATGTGAGTGGTGATGGGTGTGATGCGGTTGAGAGTGATGTTGGGTGTGTGAGTGGTGATGGGGGTGTGAGTGGTGATTATCACCTGCTCTTTCTATTCTCGCCTCTCTCCTCTCTCCTTTCCCATGCCTCCTTCCTCTCACTTGCCGTGCCATCCATCGACAGTCACTCCGTTCGCCGTTTTTTAGGTGCCTTTGAACTCCTCTCTGCCCTTGCTTATACCGTGCCACCCATGGTGCAGGTGACACTCACGCCGCTCGCCATCACTGCTGCCATCGACATCCACTCACGGCTCAAGGAGGACCTTGCGTGGCTCGCGCCGCTGCTGCCCCACGATGCCTAACTTGCCCCTTGGTCCGACATGCACTCCGCTCGCCGTCACCTCATTCAATAACGTCCACCCACAGCTCAAGTCGGACCTGGCATGGCTCGCACCGCTGCTGCCCCGCGATGCCTGACCTGCCCCTTGGATCGTCTGTCGCTGAGTTTTTTATCTGAGGCCTGAGCTGTTGGACCAGTCCAGAACCCAGTTTTTGAAACATGAAGAATCCTGTACTGGTCTGTTTTGTCTAACAAAACAAAACAGATTACTATAAGTTCTTAAAAAAAACAAATTTGTTTTTATAGGCATGACTCCATGGCCCAATGGATAAGGCGCTGGTCTACGGAACCAGAGATTCTGGGTTCGATCCCCAGTGGAGTCGTCGTCTGATGAACTGTGCGCTTCACAGTAGGTTAGGCTTTTCGCTCCTGTTCAGGAAAAGCGGTTGAGCACGGTTGTGTACAGTGTAGGCGGCTGGTTCTTTTGACGTTGAAGTGAGAGTGATAGTGGTAGTGGTTGTGCTCCTCCCTTATCCCCTTCTTCCGCCTCTTTTATCCTGCACCCTCTCCCCTCCACTACCGCAACGGCCCTATCCTTGAGACACTCCAATCAGCTTCAGGTGTGCGGCAGGGAGACCCCTGTGGTCCTTTCCTCTATGCCCTTACTCAGCAGCTTGCCATCCACCCTACTCAGCAACTCCACCCCTCAACTTTTATCACCTCATATGCCGATGACACTTACATTGTTGGCCCAGCCCCAGACGTTTTCGCCACCTACAGCACGCTTACTTTCCGCCTACAGCCTCTTGGTCTGATTGTTCAACCTTCCAAGTGCTCTCTTTATGGCCCTTCTGACGTTCCTCCAGACGCTTCCCCCCCACCAAATCTCACCATCTCTCCTAATGGCCTCACTGTCGCCGGGGTACCTATCTGATCAGACTCATACATCATCTCCTCGGTCGACCAGAAACTCCGCTCCTCTGCTGCGTCACTGCCACTTCTCCACGACCTTCACGACCTAACATAGCGTCTCTGTCAGAAGTAGTAGGAGTACGGCCTAGGCTTAGTAGCCTAGGCCACAGTAGGACTAGTAACGAGGAGCCAAGTACGAGCTAGGAATGTGTGTAGGAACAGAATTGAGAAAGGATGATTGAACTAGCAAGCAGCAGGATACAAATAGCAAACCCTAAGGGGCTGTACTCACTATAGAGTACCCCACTGCAGGCTACACAAACAACATATTCTGACACACCCCCATAGCCAAAGTGGGGTGTAATCAGCACAATGAGCAGTCATAGCAATAGTTCATAATTATCAGCAAAGCTAGAGGCTATCACAGAGGGCAAGTGAGGAGGAGGAGGGACTATGAAAGGAGAGAAGATGGGAGGCGACGACTGAAGCTGCAGACACACGGGCAACAGAAGCGGCTGACACAGTGGCGGCTGACACAGTGGCTACCGAGACAGAACGCCCCGGAATACTGGAGTAACTGGCTCTGCGGCTACGACGAGCGGCAGAAGCAACGGACTCACGGGCGACTGGTGCAGCAGGCTCTCAGTGGCTACCGAGACAGTGCGTCCCGGAATACAGGAGTAACAGGCTCTGCGGCTGCGACGAGCGGCAGGAGCAACGGACCCACGGGCAACAGGTGCAGCAGGCTCTCTGAGCTACCAGGACAGTGCGTCCCGGACTACAGGTGCTGCGAACGACAAGACAGCAGCCTCCACTCAACCTCCCCCAACAGTCCCACACCCCTCTCACACACCCCCTGCTTCACCCCTAGCTCCACTCCCACATCACCCCCCTAGTGCCACTCCCCACGACTCCCACACCTCCACCCCCCTCAGCGGCAGCTGCAGCAGTGGGAGACGAAAAAGGAGGAGGGGAGAACCCACACCTCTCACCCCCATGCTCGCCACCCCACACCCCAGCCACCGCGGAACGCACGGTGGAATGGGAGCAATGGGCAGCACGGGGGGGGGGGGGGGGGACGGGGCGGGCGTCTGCAGAGGCGGCTCGCGCGGGTCCTGGGGCGGCTGCTGCAGGTGCGGGCTGCTCCAGGGGCGGCTGCTGCAGGTGCGGGCTGCTCCAGGGGCGGCTGCTGCAGGTGCGGGCTGCTCCAGGGGCGGCTGCTGCAGGTGCGGGCTGCTCCAGGGGCGGCTGCTGCAGTGGCGGGCGGCTCCAGGGGCTGCTGCTGCAGTGGCGGGCAGCTCCAGGGGCGGCCGCCGCAGTTGAAAGGCAGAAGGGGGGGGGGGGGAAACGCACGGCCCCCAGGGCGCCCCGAGGGGCGACGAGAAGGGAGCCGCGCGGCCCCCCCCCCGGGGCGCCGCGACGGGCACCAGGGAGGGCGCCGCGACGAGCCCCCAGAGCCACCTCGACGGGCGATGGGGAGGGTGCCGCGCGGGCCCCCCGAAGTCGCCTCGACGGGCGACGGGGAGGGCGCCGCGCGGGCCCCCCGAAGTCGCCTCGACGGGCGACGGGGAGGGCCGCGCACGGCCCCCGAAGTCGCCTCGACGGGCGACGGGAGGGGACCGCGCGGGTCCCCGAGGTCGCCACGACGGGCGACGGGTGGGGAGGCCGCGCGGGCCCCCGAGGTCGCCTCGACGGGCGACGGGAGGGGAGGCCGCGCGGGCCCCCGAGGTCGCCTCGACGGGCGACGGGAGGGGAGGCCGCGCGGGCCCCCGAGAGCGCCTCGACGGGCGCTTCGACGGGAGGGGACCGCGGAGGCCCCCCCAAGGGCACCACGACGGGCGCCACGGAAGGGAAAACCGCCAGGCGCCCCGAGCGCGCGGCGGGCAGAAATTAGGGTTTCGCCGCCGCGCACCACGGGGCGCGCGGCGGACAGTACGGCAGCGGAAGCGGGTGGTGGGCCCATACACAGGAAGGCGGCAGACATGCCGCCCTCTGATACCATGTCAGAAGTAGTAGGAGTACGGCCTAGGCTTAGTAGCCTAGGCCACAGTAGGAATAGTAACGAGGAGCCAAGTACGAGCTAGGAATGTGTGTAGGAACAGAATTGAGAAAGGATGATTGAACTAGCAAGCAGCAGGATACAAATAGCAAACCCTAAGGGGCTGTACTCACTATAGAGTACCCCATTGCAGGCTACACAAACAACATATTCTGACAGTCTCGTCTTCTAACCCTCTACGTCTCAGCACGCCCCTCCTTCCTCCTCCGCACGGTCCTTCCTTTCCCTGAAATCACAGAGTTGTACGTTGACTGGGATAACAACCTGCTTGATCACTTCACCCGCCTCATTGGTTCTGAGTTCTGGCCATCTAAGTTTGACCATCTCTCTACTGCACACCACCAGCCGTTCCTTCCTATCCGTCTGGGTGATTTCGGCCTCCGCTCTGCTGCCGGGTTTGCTGATCTCAGTTTCCTCTGCAGCTGGGCTCAGACTGTTCCTCTCCTCTCCTCCCACTTCTTCATCGCCGGTGCTCCTCTCTTCCGCCCTTTCATTTCTGGCGACACCATAGACTGCCTAGACCCTTGTATCGTTTCAGCCATGTCACGCCTTCCCCCGGACATTCTTCGCCTTTTCCCCTCCTGGCCTGCCCTCATTTCCGGATACCCCCACAAGCTTGTCAAAAGGAGGACTTAGGTGGTGGCTTTAGGAGCCATGGCAAGGATTGAGAGGAAGGGTGTCGAGAGAGTTTAGTGCAAGAAGAAGAGGGGTTTCACTATAGAGTCAAGGGTACAAATAGGGGAGGAAAGGGGGTAAAACACCAAACAGGAAAATGTGATAACTACACTACTGCTAGATCTACATGCAGTTATAATAATGTGATTCTGACATCCCCCCTTAACTGCATGCAGGAATAGCAAAGTGCAAATCACAACCTGTAGGTGTACTCAAAGTAACAGCACGCAAGAGCAATGACAACCAGTGCAGTAGTGGCAGAGACAGCTGCAGTAAGCCCCGAGGCAAGAAACAAAGAGAAGGTGCATGTGGCGCAGGTAGCCTGGAGAGCAGGTGCGTGCGGCTAGAAAGGGTGGCGACAACGCAGGGCTCAACGGCAACGCCTGCAGCTCAACAGCAAAGAAAGACGAACGAAGACAGAGTGGCGTCAGGGGCTGCAGAAGTAGGTGCCACAGTAGCAGTGGCGGTTGCTGGGGGTTCACACCCGCCACCCCCTCATCTCCCCCCTTAACCTCTCTCCCCCCCCCCCCCCCCCCCCAGCAACTACTGCTGCAAGGAGAGAGGAAGAGGGAGGGGAGGGACGGGCTGCAGGATGCTCACACCCGCCACCCCCACGTCTCCCTCCCCCCCCTCCACGGTAGAAGTCGCGGAAGGGAAGGGAAGGGGCGGGGTACGAAGCTGCTGACGTTGGCGGAGGCGTTGGTGCGCGCAGTTGACGCAGGCGCTGGCGCTCGTCGCCAATGTCCGCGGCGGGCGCTGGTCGTTGGTAGCGGGCGCCTGCAGCGACGCTCGTCGCTGGCGTCCGCGTAGGCGCTGGCGAGGCGACCGGGGGCGGCGGGTCGCCGAAACGGGGGCCGCGGGGCGACGAAACGGGGGACCGCGGGGCGACGAAACGGGGGGCCGCGGGGCGACGAAACGGAAGGGCGCCACGGGGCGATTCGGGGGACCCGCGGGGCGCATGACGGGCTGTGCGACGGGTGGGCCCATGATCCTTGAAAATATTGGAAGGTTCCAGGAAGGAACCCGCTCTGAAACCATGTCAAAAGGAGGACTTAGGTGGTGGCTTTAGGAGCCATGGCAAGGATTGAGAGGAAGGGTGTCGAGAGAGTTTAGTGCAAGAAGAAGAGGGGTTTCACCATAGAGTCAAGGGTACAAATAGGGGAGGAAAGGGGGTAAACCACCAAACAGGAAAATGTGATAACTACACTACTGCTAGATCTACATGCAGTTATAATAATGTAATTCTGACAAAGCTCTACTCCTACCTTTCCCAACTCAAGGAAGCTGCCATGTTCGAACGGGTGCGCTCCACAGTAACCTCTCCCCTTCATTTGGCCCGTTTAACCTCCTTACAAGGGCCCCATGAAGGTGACTGGCTGTCTGTGGCTCCATCCTCGCAGCACCTTCAGTTTTCCCCAACCGAGTGGAGAATTGCAGCTGCAATCTGCCTCGGCCTTCCCATCCCTCACCTCACCACCTCCCGCACTTGAGTGTGCGGTTTCTTTTACACTGACCCATCCATTGCCTCTCATGTCCTTCGCTGCCCTACCGGAAACGAGCCCATCAGGGTCCATGACGCCGTCAAACACGAGGTTCACCGGATTGTGAAGGAGCTTGGTCTGCCTTCCCAGCTTGAGGACAGCCACCTCCTGGCTGGTCGTCGTCCCGATTTCAGTTGCAGTGATACGAGTTCTGGGGTGACTTGGGCTTTGGACGTTACGGTGACTGCCTCTTGGTACACCAGGCAGGAACGCGAGGAAACCCCCCGCGAGTGAAAAAACACGGGGCAAATTTGTCTCGTAGTCACCACCAGGCAGTGCTGACACCGCGGGAATCTGAGATTCCCTGTACTTCCGGGCAACTATACTTGAAACGTGTAGAAATCGCATTCAGTGTCAGTTTCGGTACAACGTAGAGGAATCAGTGTCGTTAAACAAAAAAACCTGAAAGTTCAGAGTCATCTGGCAGGAAAAGGCTGAAAAAAGAGTCCCACAAAAAGCTGAACACAGGAAAATCAGGGTAGGTACAAAAAAATCCCTGAAAATCAGGAATTTCAGGAAACAATTCCTGATATCGTAGGGCCTGCCGCTCATACACTGAACCGCCCCCTCATACGCTGCACCAACCGCTCATACGCTGCACCGGCCGCTCATAAGCTGCACCGCCATCAGTTCTGCTACTAGTGCTCGGGAGCTGGAAAAGAACTCGCTTTACGCTGCCTCATTACGTGATCGTCATGATGTCAAGTTCTTCCCCCCTGGCTATCGAGACTTTCGGTTGTTTTGGAAAGACCTTCCTCCAGTTCCTTCAGGACTGCAGCCGGCGTGGTGCAGCTCGTATTTGTGACATGAGTGGTACGACAGATCTTGTGCCTCAACTTCTAGAAACCAACTTCTTCAAGCGTGTCTCCTTCGTTCTTCAGCGTGAGCAACCTAGGACAGTGTGACGTCGTTCCCAGATTCGTTTTACCGGTGCTCCTGATTTGCGGGCATCCAAGGCCACCCTGCCCTCGGTGGCTGACTTTGCCTACCTAGGTCCGGATGGTTGAGTGCCCTTAGTCCCTCCTCCTACCATGGTTGTTTGTTCCTTATGCCTCTAGAAATCTGTGAATGTACCTCTTGTACATATACTTGATTGTAAATGAAGCGGTAGTGGCGAACGGGGTCTTCAGGACGCGCCAACTCCCCAAATCTTCGGCGATCGATCGTTCAATTTTGATCGGCCACCGCAAGCGCGTGTGATATTTTTTCGAACTTCCCAAAGTTCGAACTTTAGGAACGGCTCTACAAGGCTGGATACATTTATTTATCTTTCGGCACGGTGCAAAGCGGTTTGCGTTCGAGCTTAGTAAAAAAAAACCAAAAATCAAACTTACCAGGCCTTTAAAACCTGTTGAAATTACGAACCTGCGCATGATTGATCGCTCAAATGTGGTGGGAGTTGACGCGTCCTCATGGCAACATCCACGCAGCACATACACTCAGAAGCAATAACAGCCAATTTGATGCGAAGGCAATAACAGCCAATTTGATGTTGGAAAAGCCCAGTAGCCATGGCCAAGTATGTAAGGCCAAGTAGCCATATGCGTGGAAGACGGGCACCTTCTTCGCGCCTTCTCGCTCGACCTTTTCCTGCACGGCCTCTCACTCCCGCTGCTGTGTTTCCTTCCGTCGATCTGTACAGCCCGTGGTGGGGTGGGGTGGCGGTGCGGGGCGAACCGCGCGCTAGCGCGGTGAAGAATCTCTTTCTTTCATAGACCGTGCCACTTGCGAGCGGAAGCAACGCTTTTTCGTGCTCCCCGGGGTTTCCCTCTAGTTTCATCCCTGCTCGCCCAACCCATACCACAAGTACATGTATTTCTGCCTCTGCTCTTTTGGTGCCTCGAATCTATAAAGCAGCCGAAAAGTGCGGGCAAGAAACGTGCAATCTCGTATTCACTACCAAGTTCCTTTCCTCCATCTGCTGCTTGCTCTTCGCTCGCCCAACATGGTACTCCCTCGCTCTCCCCGTCTCCAGGCAACCAAGACTGCACCACGCGCAGCGCTGCTACGCCTCGTCATTTCCATCGCGCTCTCCGCGCCGTGCGCCGTGCGCGGCGCGCAGGTTCCCGCGGTGTCGTCAATAGCGGCGGCGCTGTCAAGCGCGGAGTCGCCTGCGCAGTCGTTCAACGTGTCTGTGCTCGTCCTCAACGCCACCGGGCTGCTCGCCAAGCTGCCCGTGCTCGCGCCCACCGACGCCGCGTGGCGCGCCGCATTCCACGGCCTCGCCCTGCCGTACCTCAGCGCCTACATTCCCTTCCCCGGTCCTGTTGTCTGTGGCGAGACCCTCCGGAAGTACGGGAACAGCTCGGGCGGCGCGGGCGGTTCGGACGCTGCCAAATCCATTAGCCCCGCGCAGCCGACCCCAGCGCCCGGCGTTCCCCCCCAGGCGGGAGACGCTACTAGCGGCGATGCAAGCTCGGCGATGGTTCCCGGCCTTCCGCAAATTGACTTGCCGCTGCCAGGCGTTCCCGCCCTGCCCATTCCTAAAATTCCCAGCAGGCCGGACGGGTTGAATGGGACAATGCCTGCGGACAACATGACGCTTGCCACGCCCGATTTCAACATGACCATGCCCAACATGACCATGCCTGACATCAATATCACCATGCCCGACTTCAACTGGACCTTTCCCAATCTAAACACGTCCATGCCAAACGTGAACCCGCTGACTTTCAACCTGCTTCTCGCCGCATTGAGCGCCGTGTTTTCCGGCGACGGGACGCCCGCGTCGCTGGCGGCGCTGGCCAAGGAGCGGCCCGAGGCGCTGCAGGCTCTGTGGGACCTCCTCGCGCACCACGTGGCGACCATGGCGGTGCTCAACGTGGCGGCCATTGCGGCGCAGTTCTCAGCGGCGGGGGATGCGGGCAACCTGACGACGGTGAACGGGCGGGGGCTGTGGATCAACTTCAACACGAGCGAGCCCGCCGCGCTGCTCAACGCGTAGCCACCCGCGCAGCGCGCGCTGATTAGCAAGGGGGTAAGCTTGGGGTACGATAGGACTGTGTACTTCCTGAATGGCACCGCCGTGGCGGCCAACGGCACGGTCATCTTTGACCCTGCGACGAGCCCCGTGGCCGTGGACTCGGAGGGCAACACGTTCTTCGCCAACGGCACCGTCGTCAGCGCCAATGGCACTGTTGTGAGCGCCAACGGCACCGTTGCAACCAACGGCACCGCCATCCCCATCGACGGGCCGGGTCTCCCCGTGCCCCCCACCGTCTCGTCTCCTCCCAACGGCGACGGCTCGGTGGCGCCCCCCGTCACCTCCATGCCCGCCCCTGCTGATGTGCCCCTCGCTACCACCATGCCCGCCCCCATTGATGTCCCCCCCGCCACCAACATGCCCGCCCCCGTTGATGTGCCCCCCGCCACTGCCATGCCCATCGTCCTGGTGGAGTTGATCCCGAGGGTCATGGGCGGGTGGGGCGACTGGGGCAACTGGGGCAACTGGAGCGCGGAGGAGCAGCAGCAGTGGTGCGGGAATGTGACGGAATCGATGAACGGGGCCGTGCCGGGGCTGAACGTGACTGCCAGCGAGTACCTCGCCTGGCTCAACGCCTCCTCCCTCGCCTGGGCGGCAGGCTTTGATGCCATGTGGGAGCAGGCTGGCAGCGACATGAACGTGGCACGGGTGGTGCGGGCTGATGTGATGGACAGCGATGGCATCGTGGTGCATGGTGTGGATGGCGTGCTGTTTCCCCTCTTCCGCGACTTGCCCGTGTTAAAGGGCGGCGCAGGAGGAGGAGGAGAGGGTGACGTGCCTATGCCCATTGCCGTGCCTGTCGTGGCACTTGGTGGCGCTGCTAACGACAGCGCGTGCGACACCGGTACAAATGGCACTACGAATGGTGGGAAGCCCAACGGCAGTGTTGCCACAGGTGCTGGTGCTGCTGCTGGGTCTAGCAACAGCAGCAGTGGTGGGCAGGATGCATTTAAGATTGCGGCGAGTGGCACGCCAGCACCACCTGCTGGGTCACCCCCCCCGAGCAAATCGCAGAGCAAGGCTGCTGCAGGTGAGCGCTGCCTCCACGCTCTTCTCCTTTATCTCCCCCTCATTTCTTGCCGCTGAATCTTCTGTGTATGTAGCTACATGACCGTGTGTTGTGCTGTGCTGTGCTTTGCTGTGCTGTGTGTTCGTGATAGCCAATACTATGGGTGCAACTGCTCTTCAACCCACATGTTTAACATTCCTCTTTTTCTTGCATTTGTCTGTGTGTTGTGCCCAGGCCCCATCCTCTTGGCTGTTGCGCTCTCCCTTGTGGCTCTGCTGTAGCATGAGCAGCCAGCTTGCTGCTGGTATTGCTACAACTACCTTATGGCCTCCATCCACCACAGACCTGTCACCCCCCCTCATTGTGGTTGCAATGTCTAGTTCTCTATCTGTAGGCATGGTTCGTATTTATTGTCGTTTGCTCCTCTTTTTTCTTTCCATCCAGCCCTGTAAGCAGTGGTATGTTATGAGCCGTGTTTATGTCAGTTATAGCTCTACTTATGAAGCTCGTTTGCGTCCGCTAGAGCGTCTAGTGCAACATTGCATGAAAATCAACTGGTACTCGTGGAAAATGGATTGGAGTGAAACACGCTAACTCTTGGAGAACCAACTGATGAATGGAACAATGCTGAATTCTTGAGTAGTTAAGGACAGGAAGGGAGGCAGTCAGTAGACAGGCAAACCGAGCGACGCAGACCATACCACTAGAAGCAACACGATCGGACATGAATCGCTGTCCCTACCCCTCAATCACAGCTCAATGTCGGCCTTAGAGGGGCTGCACATAAGCTTTTGGGAGTTGGGTTTCTTCGTATCAGAACAGCAGCGAGCGACAACAACAACAAGAGCAAGACTGATGGTGGCAGCACTTGACATGGAATGGAACGGATAGTTGTGGTTGTGAGGGTTGAGGGTGGGGAAGCTGTGGGGGAGGACTGAGATGCTGCTTGGGAAGCTGCTGGTGGGGTGGTGGGCACCGACACTGCAGCGTGGGCAGGGGTGGATGCACATGCATGTTGCATGTTGCATACGGTATTGATCAATGCGTGGTGCACGCATGCAAGAAAGACGGTCAGTTTCAGCTGAATGTTCCATGCCATCTCGGCATGTGCATGCAACGCAACCTGTTTCCCACACCACACGCGCCATCCATTCCATACATGCACAATCCATGTGTACCATTATTCTTTCAAGGTGGTGAGACAACACCCTCTTGTTCTTAGGCTCACTCTCAAGGCAGCACAGAAATTATGATCACGGGGTCTGCAAGAGGAGCAGAAGGAGAAGCAGATGCGGCAGAAGGAGGTGTTGCTCTGGTGCACCCTACACTCGCTGCCGTACAAAGGACAGGTCAGCCCCGAACCAGTGAGGTTCCTGGAGGCGAGGGGGTGGGAAAAGGGAGAATGGAGACAGAAGCACAGAGAAATGGAGAAAATGGCAGGGAAAAAGGAAAGGAAGAAAGGAGATAGAGAGTGAAGCTATTTTGGAAATAACACAAGGCATAGTAGTGAATCACGTTTATCCATTCACATATGGGACGGATCGCTATGGAACGGATCGGTATGGAACGGATCCCTATGCAAAATGCCACAGTCCTAGAATCCTATCACACACCCTAAGAGAGCATTTTGTTTGGGGCTTACATATTGCCCAGTGCATGATCACTCAAGGTCACTGGGATGGAACCTAAGAGCTTGTTCAAACTCAGATCACTACCATGGGGATGGGGCACGCGTGGAGGGAAAGAGTAGGTGAATGAGGCAGGTAGAAAGACCTGCAGACATGCTTGTATGGCCGTAGTGGTTACCTTTAAGACGGATGAGTGGAGTGAAAGAGTGAGGGAAGCAAGCACCGTGGCAGCAATGGGGCCCAGCCATGTAATATTTGAGTCATGTCAACTCAAACTTCTCTATAAAAAATAAGGATGCGTGCACTGAGAGCCACACAAAATTCTCCCTAGAAGATTAATGAGAGAGGCTGGAATGACGTTGATGAGCGTGTGCATGGGACGAGCTGGATTGGAGCACACAGCTCAGGTTTGACCTCTAACATGGTCAAGCACGTAGGCAGGGGCCCCTCAAGACCGTTGTGACCCAGCTTCCTAACACGAACGAGTGGAGACAGATGCATGCAAAACATGAAAGGGGGGAAGGGGAGCGGAGGGGGGGAGGGGAAACAAGTAGGTGGTTGCATAGTAGTGACATCAGATACCGTCAAGTAAAGTGAATCATGGGGTTGTGCTTGCATGCGTGGCAAGGTTGGCCAGTGCTCATACGCCTTCAATCATGGCAACCTCTTTGCGCGGCGAGGACCGTTGGTGTAAGACACGCTTTGGTATTGTCTTGCTCGCACACAATGTGATGCACGTAGTAACCGAGCGACCTTCCTCCCGATGTCTAGCCAAAACGCATCCAGCCTTATGTGCGTCAACGCAACACCCTGCACGCCATCCCTCTATACTCTACATGTTGTGTCTTTATTGCTGGTAGAACACTAGGGAATGCGAAGTGTAGCAGGGTGAGTGGTGCCGGACTGAAGGGGAAACTTAAATCGCTATTCACTTGCTGAAACTAGCACATTGAGGACTAACGATCTGTGTAACGAGTCGCTGACACGTGCGCGGGACAGAGAGCCTGACAAGCCACTTAACCTGACAAGCCGATGAGGCACTGGTTGTTCAAGCTGGCGCTCGTTGCCTCACCGTGCTGCACCTTCTCCGTCCCTCGATCGTCTTAACATGGCATCTCACCACACGATCCTCAGATAGCATACCACATGGTTCCCGAGATCAAAGGGCAGTCGACATGAAGCCCAAGAGGTGATTGAACGAGAAATTCCTGCAGGTCGGCACACACATGGGCACATGGGCGGGTGGATAGGCATGCGGGTGGGCATGTGAGCACGAAAGGAAATTAGCACGAGCAATAAGGAGGGGACAACAGCTTCCTAGTAGAGCTATTTTTTTTTAACCTATCAGTCCTTCAAATCTTGTTAAATGAGGCACTTGTGATGTGATATCAGCAAACGTACATTAGAAAGGATGAACAATCAGAGCATAAAGATGGATTGTGTACGAGGCCCAACACGGACACATTCTCACAAGCACTGACAGGGAGGAGAGCGGCATGGAGTCGAGGGCAGGGATGGTGCCCCAGAGCATGTTGGAGAAGAGGCTCCTGTGCCATGCCATGTCACGCCATGCCGGACATGTGGTACCCATGTGGTGTAATGTGGTACCTATGTGGTACCATGTGGTACCCATGTGGTGCCATGTGGTACCCATGTGGCGCCATGTGGTGCGGGGCATTCCAGCCATGTGGTGAGGGAAACGGAGGGACAGGAAGGATGTGGAGAGGGTGAGGGAGGGATCGATGAAGGGGGGGGCATTTAGAGATGGATCAAGGGAATGAAGGGGCGGGTAAGTAGGGAAAGAAGGAGGAAAGAGGAGCAGAAGGAGAGCAAGAAGAGGGACTGAGAGTTTTAATCATGTGAGTGCAAGTTGGTGGGTAGGATGAAGGAGACGTGTGGGGCCCACAGGTAGGTGAGGGAAAGGTTGGCAATGACAGCAGGGATGGTCCCCAAAAATATGTTGCGCGTCACACTGGGCTAGATGGGACGAAACATGAATGGGTTGGTCATTGTGGGTTGGTCATTGCGGATTGGTCATTGTGGATTAGTCATTGTAGATTGGCTTAACCACCATCCACTGCCTAGCCACCATCCATTGCCTAGCGACCATCCATTGCTTATCCACCATCTATTGCCTAGCCACCATCTATCGCTTATCCACCATCCATTGCATAGCCACCATCCATCGCTTAGCCACCATCCATCGCTTAGCCACCATCCATCGCTTAGCCATCATCCATTGCTTAGCCAGCATTGGATGATCATTGTTGATTGGCCCATGAATGGACGCCCTTGCAGAATTGATGCAAACGAGGGCTAGGCGAAGGAGGCAACGAGTGAATAATGAGAAAGTGGGGAGGAAGCAGACTGAGAAAGCAAGTAGAGTGGCATACAGGTCAGTGAGGGCGGTGAGGGCGAAGTTGGTGGATGGAATAGAGTTAGTGAAGTCATTCAGACCGGCCTGCCCAGAGGTGGAAGAGAAAGAGGAGATAGGAGGGGAGGGCGCATTGATGGTTGGTGAGCAAGGAAGTTGGGAAGAGTGGCACATCGGTCAGCAGCTTAAAGAGAGTGGCACCTCAACAATAGAACGGTTGGAGAAATCACTGTGAATGGTCGGCTCAGCAGCTTAAAGATTCAATGCTTCCAAGCACTGAGCTTAGCCGCTTAAGGTGTCAAAGCAAGATGAGGGGCTCTTAATGCGGTGATGGCTTACAAAGTGTCCAGCCCTGTGAGCGCTATATAGATCGGTGGGGAACGATGCAGAGTGGTGTACGCTAAAGTTGCCGATGACATCCTTGTAAGGTGGTAAAGGCCAGGAGGGTTGGGGAAGGCACAAAACAGTCCAATCAGTTGAAAGGCAAAAGGGGGGGAGAAGGAGCAGTGCAAAGTGGCTTCACCACGAGCAAACACAGCGTATCAAGTTACTGATATAATCACGACGCACACATCAATGAACATGAGGTGCACTTGGGGAGATGCAAATAGAATGTTGGGTACGTGCACGTGAGAGGGATAAACAAATGTCGGCGAGGCTAATGAGGTGAAGAGAAGCAGTATGGTGAGTAGACGGCACGTGTGACGGCATGCGAGGATGGCGGTACGAACAGGTATTTGAGCGAGGAGAGGGTGGCGATCCGTGAGGGCAGACTACTGGCTGAGAGGAATTGAATGTCTCTGTTTGAGAGGAGGGAGGGGGGGAGAGAGATGCGGAAGAGGGAGATAGAGGGAAGTAGATCTCGAATCATTCCGCACCAAAAGAAGGCATGAGGAAGCAGCGCACATACAGAAACAAATCCTTGGGTGTTTTGTACTTTAAGTCCACAAATGTGTGAGCTTACATGTGTGTGAGCTTACACGCTGGAGAGATCTGGTGGGAGCGGGCCGGGCGTGCGGTCAAAACTTCAAAGAGCACTGAGGGGAATGGGGATGAGGGGAGTATTGAATACGTGCAGCGGGTTGGCCAAAAAGGGGCCACGGGGTTGACGGTGGGGCAGGGAAGAGGTGCACGGGCGAGGATGGGAGGGTAGCAAGGAGTGATTCCCAAGCCAATGTGATACCCAAGAAGATGTGATTCCCAAGTGTTGGCAGAGCGAGAGGGGAGGCCAAGCAGTGATGAAAAAGAGGGAAGCGGAAGAGGGGTGTACAGGTGGTGG